TGAAGGCTGGAAAATTCGCCAAACGCAGACTTACAAAAGGGACACTGATGGGAACTAAAGCTTAGACGAAAACTGTGGCGCCAGTTCCTTGCGGCGATAATCTGGGCGAGGCGGAGCTATCCCGAGATCAGAGAAGGCATTCGGTTGCCACCTTTTTCCCACAGGAGCCTTTAAAAAAAGAGAAAACGGTATGACTGGACATTTGTTATTTTGTTTAAATGCCATTTAAACATGTTCTAAAGTGGCAAATGCCATCAACAGTTGTTTATGTACCTGTTACTGGGTTATCTAACAGTAGCTTTAATTCCCTGTTGAGTGTCTTAAATCCCCTTCCTGTTTCAGGTGGCCATGTTTCCTCTCTGTAATTGCATCCAGACTTTTGGAATCAGACCTGAATGGCTGTGTAGGTGATAATTAGTTTGAAGGATTGCTAATAGGAGCCAAACAGGAGAGAGGTGATTTTAGGATGCTGCATGTTGCACATAAATGGCCCTGTGTGACGTACGCTCTTTGCACAGGGGTGATCTGGCTTGTTTCATTACCATTGCTCCTGAGAAATTACCTGTGCACGTTAAAATGTAAAATACATCCTCTCCTAACTTTTTTTTTTACTACATAAAGACATTCACCTTATTATATTTATAAAAGATTAATTTCGCCTTTACACAAACTAAGCAATAGGCCCTTTCACTGAAAACAGACTATATTTTTCAAGTAGAGTAGAATATCTAACCGAAAAAGCTATCATAATCAAATTAAAGGTTACCTGGAGTTTAAACTCTTTTACGGCTAACAGGGCGGCATAAAAAAAAAGTCCTATTGAAACTAAAAGAGTGGCATGCTTTAAGGTGGATGCATGGCTATGGCTCAATCTCACAATGATTTACACCAGTTGGTACCACCGTTTTCTTACTGTAATGAGATCTTGGTTCACAAAATACTCTACACCTTTTTTTGTACCCACAGTTGTTCGATCATCCACACTGTAGACATATTACATTCCAGGGAAACTTTTTGGTGTGCAGGCTTGTTTTGTTCCCAAAAAGCCATGTTCTCTGTAGCTTCAGGAAGACAGGTTTTACATGCACTTCTTCTAATAAGTGTCACTGGGAGTCAGAGGCTGCTGTTTCCAGATGAAAAAACTGCTGATTTTGTTCCTTCAAAGCTGCAGCTTACACATCTTCGAAAGGAGGAGCTTATGCTCTTGGGAAGCTTCGTTTTGCACCCCGAGACACTGCTGCCTCACCCGTCTGCCAAGGCCTATTTCCTATGCAGATCAGCTGTCCACCTGCTAGCGGAATTGACATCTTGGCTTCTGATGCATGCTCTACTTTCCAAAGTAGTTTCTGAGCCGGGCTGAAGGGATTTGCAGCTGTGTGAAGCACAGCAGACGCTTGATCTCCGGCTGGTACTGGCATGGATGTGACACAGAAACAGACAAGTGTCGTTTTGGCTGGAAACACTTGCCTCTGTATTGTTGGGGCGGTTGGAGTGCAAGTGAACATCTCTTTCTGCGAAAATGTGTGTATGTTGGTCTTCGTTTCAGTTTTACCTTCACACATGCCGCCAGACGTTTCCTTTTCGCACCTTTTCGTACTGTCATGAAAAGATCGAAAAATATTGGTGAGCATAAGATGGGAACAACAGGTCACCGCCCAGATACAAACTGGTGATGGATTATCTTCCATTTGAGGGGCCATTCATGCAACCAATTTTTTGCCAAATAAGATAGTGGTAACATTGATTTATAAGGGGTATGCTAACCAGTTATACCTCCTTGTTCAAGCTGGGTTTTTTTTATTAGGATGGGATCAGTGTTAACATTTAAACTCTTACAAATCCTAACAAAATTGAAAGACAGCTGAGTTGGCTCAGTTCTGTTCTGTTTAGAGATATAGAAATGTAATAACAATAACAACAATAATAATAACAATATGCTCTAATTTAAAGCTAAACATCCTATAGCTGAACATGTATTTAGTTAATTCAAACCTCGGAATTGTAGGCAATTTTAAACTCTTCTTTTTCTCCATCTATTTCTTTTACAATCTTGTGTTTATTTTCTCAATTATTTTTCGTCATTCAAATAAAAAGATTGTAAAAAAAGAAAATGGAAGTCCTTTCTATTGAGACATAGCATCAGGAACCTAGGAGCATTGTAATTCTACCATTAGAATCAAGTGTAATGCCATAGTACATGCTGCTACTGATTAAAAATAGATAACAAAATAACAAAAACAACTCTTTTGCCATAATTTTGTCGAGATAAAATATTTATACTACAAATTTTTTAACAGTTTAAATGTTTTTACTTTACACTTTAAACAAAAACAATAGCTCACAATTTAAATTATTTCACATCCGAACTAAAAGTTTTAAATGCGATATTGCCTCAAAATTCTACATTTAGCTCAACTCGTTTGAGTCTGCATATGTTCTGTTAGCCTTCACCACTTTGAGGTTTTCAAGCTCCAAACCGCCTTAATAATAATCTTAGCTCTTTTTTCCAGTACAGTTTCTTAATAGTTGTAAAATAAATAATTGTACAAAATGAGACTAACTTTTTATTTTTTATTTTTTTGGAAGCTGACTATGCAGACCGGTACAGTTGAAATTAGACCTACATTAGGACCAAATTTAAAGCTAGACTATGACAAAAGAAACCAAGTTATCATCTCTTTAAGTGGTGACGCTGTTGATTGTCACAGTGGTATTTATAGCTGATGGTCTGATTAGGTGTGAGAAATATCAAGACTGATTTGCCTGGTAATGTTATCCTATTTGTTTTCACTGAGCCTTGTTTATGTACTGACGAACGCTTGGGGAAATATCTCAATTCCCTAAGATCCTTTGCACCAGTAATAACACCCCATAACCTCAACACAATTAATCTTTCCATGCATATCTGACAGCCAATGAGTTTTCATTTCAAACATAAATATTATTCTGCCCTCAGCAGGAGCTCCAGTCATGGGAACCCCTTGGCCTCTCTGCAATGTCACCATCTTTTCCGAAGGCTGCCAAGCCAAACTAACATGCTCCCTCCCCTCTCACAATCTAACTTGGCCATGAACTGTGACATCTTCATATATCATCGCGTTGATAACTGCAATCTTTAATTATACCCTTGTCTCGTCCGGTGGATCTGTATCTCTTTTCTCCCTCCCCATAAGAGACTCCCATTTATCCACTCCTTCTTAGTGATCCCTCCCTGCAAAGACTACAGCATGTCACTATCCCAATACACAAGACTCAGTAAGTCGATCCAACAGGAAATCAATAGCAAGGCCTAATGCTGAATAATTGAGGTTACAGGAGTTCAGCAGCACTCCCCATACATACCCCCCTGACACCCACCCATCCCATAGTGTAACCTCCTGTTATGCACAGGGTGTGGCGCACTTTGCATTTAACTGGACGGGCTGACCAGTTGAAGTACTCCTGGCTCCATAGTAAACCACTGAGTCATTGCTTAATTGTTCTTTTGCAAGCGGGGCAATTTTACGGGGCTTAAAATTCAGTTTCTTTCACTGGTCCAACTGTCTCGGAGTTTGTGTGATTTCACTCAACATTTCAAAAGATCTTTTTAACACTGATGCACAATATCTCACTCAGGACTGTTCCAGAGAGTATGATATGCACTAGAGGGCACAAGCTGCCTTGCAAAGATGCCAACTTGCTTTGAAAAGAACAAAGAGGGTGAGCTGAGAGCCTGACTTCACTCAAAGGCTTGAGGGAGACAGAGAAGAGGCAACATAAGGGACTAACAGAGATAATTACGGTTTATGAAGAAGGTCGAATAAATTCAAGTTTTATAGCACTCTTTGGAATAGTGGTTATGAATGTGTTTGGAGTATTGGTGATTGGTAAAAGGGAGAGCTCATTCTAGATGTCTGCATTTCATCTAGCCATCTTCAAAGTCTTTTTTTAACACATGAATTTAGATGATGATCAGGAAAAAGTATGGACAGTTTTATTTAGTCTTTTACACAGTTGTGGTTCTCGCTAATGCATCGCGCTAGAAGGGCTTTTCTCCTGGACCTGCACTCTGACGGCTGGAAATGCGAATGGATGTGGGGGCATTCTTGAGGAGGGGGCAGGGACTCCATGTTGATAGTAAGTGCATGGTCCTGTTCTGCTGTGTAAACACACTTTATGTGAATATCCCTGGTGTGGGCTGAAAAAATAATATCTGTGAAAATCCAAAAAACGAACATAAACTGCTTACATGTGCAACTTTTTATGTCTAATTGCGGATGACCTGCAGAAATCAAAGATGACTTCATGAAGTCATACTTGTCTGTTAAGAGTTTTTAAGTTCAAATATTAATTATGACGTAAAAGACAAATGCTTCACATTCGGAAGGCAAGAACTTGTTACAAGTCAGCTTGGGACATATCAGCTGTGTAAGATGATGCATTGCTGCACAGTAGGCACTGCTAGGAGCAGTAGTAAAGCATAGGAAATACCATCAGCTGGTGTCCTTGTTATTCAGTATTACGTGTATTCAACTGAATATTCAACGCTGGTTTTATATTCCTCACAAAAGCTCTTCTTAAAATTTGAATGCATAGACATGTTATTTTCCACATCAGCACTTAAATTACAGCTGAGTAAACAAATAGAAATACCACACACAAAGTACGCATTTGCTGCAGAAATATATTAAAATGTGTATGTTCTGTGTTTATGTCATAGCAACATTCAAAAGAGAAAAAAAATGCCTTGATCTGTAAAATAAGTGCACAGTGTAACAACCGTATTGCTCCCTTCTAGTCTAACACTGGTTGTCCACTTCTTTCTTACAAAACAAGGCCTGTTTGTGGGCTCACGGGAACAAAGCCAGGTTTTTGTTGTCCTCCATTGTGTTTTTAGTGTGTTTGTGAGATCATGCGGAGTCTCACATTGTACATTTTTCCCCTCTACGAATACACACCTCAAGATAAACATTCTCTCTCCCTGCTGTACCTCCCACATCTTCACTTCCTCTTGCCTCTAGGCTATGGTCACTCTGCAGATGGCAGATAATGACAGTGTTGTCCCCACTGGCTGGTTTCATGTGTGTCTGTGTGTCAGTGCTGCCTCTGTTTGCGAAGTGCCAGCAGTGAGGTGTTTAATTCCACTTGGCTACCTCACCAATAGCTGACTGGTAACTACTTGCTGTACACACTGGCTGGGTTAGCTCTTTTTCACTTCCAGCTCAGTTGTACCTTTCCAATTGAGTAGAAAACACACCAAGTACCTCTGAAAAATGTGTTTCGTTATTTATGTAATGATTGGATATCCTGGCTCATTTATTGACTGGTTGACTGATTTATTGTATCTACTTGTTGATTAGCATACAAGTGGAGCACCACATTTCTTAACTGACAAGGTGACAGCTCAAATGCACAGTAATACTCAACCAAAAGGCAGGTTGGAAGTGGGAGTATGGTACCTGGGTTACATGTTTTGTGTTATAAAAAACCTGTAGTGCTGTAATGCAAGCTCCCCTCAGCCCTACCCTGCCTGTCTTTCTGACAACGAACAGAGCATACAGCCTCCCTTGATGGAAAAGTCTAGCTTCCCTTGCGGTGCTTTTTGAAATGCTCATCGACTGAACTTCATTTCAAAGAGTCAGTAGTGTCTCTGATTTGATATATTGATATGTGGTGTTGTAAGGCTTGAAAAAAGGAGGAATGTGGCTGAATTTTACTCTCCAATGAAAGTCCTTAGCTTTTAAACAGCTTTCAACAAATGGCCGCCTTACTTATTTATGTTTGTAGCATCCAGGGCCAAGCCGATGACGTCATTGGAGTTATTTTCTTAAACTTTAAAAAGCTTTTATATTACCGTAGAATGACTTTCAACAACTTTGTGAAGTTAGCTGATGCAGTTACTCAGCACAGTTCTAAAGTGTGAATGTTTCAATGCATACAATAATGTTTCTGGATAATGAACGATACTCTGCTATCATGAATTTCTGGATTACACTAAAAAAAATCAACATTTGATATTTGAAGATGATTTGATGACTATTAAGTTACTTTTTCTATTCCACAAGTCACTGAGGTTTTTTACATTTAATACTAATCCTCTAGTAGAACGTTATGATCACTGTAACTTGGTAATTTCTTTATCAGATTAGGTCAGTGTACTCTTCCTGGCTTTTAATGAAAATAATACTGTAGGCCTACTGCTCAGTCTGATGTAAACAAAAAAAATATCATGTACCTGTTTTTTACATCTGGTGGCAAGTGTCTTTTTTGCATCTGTAAATGTGTAATTTGTTTGAACTTCTCAGTAATAAAGGATTTTTTTCTTTTTGGCACTAATGTGCTTGTGCTGATCACACAGCTGAGCACAACAAACTTGTGAAATTACTGCTGTACTGGAAATCCATTTGAGGTACAGTTTTGCTTTCAGTAGTTAAGTATGTGGGGGTATTTGTTTTGAAGTCTTTTCATGTGTGCTGAGAGCAATTCTCTTTGAATCTTGAGCGGTCTGAGCTTTCAAACAGCCTCTGTTTTTGTTCCATAACATGGTATCAGGCTATGTGGCGGCCTACCCACGGCAGTCCCAGGTTATATAACAAAAGCTGTGTAGAACGTACATGATAAGTCTTTATTATAACAGTTTATTCCTCACTTCAGCATATTCATTAAAGAATGTTCTTTGACTCATTTTCTGCTGGCTTTCTTTTAGAAAATACATTTGACTGCATCCTATATAGTTTTCCTGCCAATAGAGTGAATGGGGTGAATATTTCAAAGAAGCACGCCTTACAGTTGATGTTCCTGAGATTTTGGCATTTGGAAATATTTTTTCATCTGAGATAAGAAATGTTTCTATCAGTGTATTTGCTGTGCTGCTTCAGTGGTAATTTATTATCCCTCGGATATATCATCTTCACTTGTGAGCTGAGCTTTTTCTTCTCAGTACCTTCTTCCATTCCTTATCTTTAGCTTTTCACAGTGTATCATCCATTTCTTTTGTTGTCTGTCAGTCACACATCCAACGGATGAATTGTACGCTCTGTTTGGCCAGAGGTTTGAAGTTGTTAATATACACAGAAGAATGTGATAGTTAGAATTTTACCTTGCGTCAGCACGTTGTAGGTAACACTCTCGCACGGCAGCCTAAAATGTGTGAATTCATTTCCCCTAGCGCAGGAGGAAAACTTCAAAGGCAGACGAGAACTTAGCCTCATGGATTTGAAAGGGCTGAGTCTCTAATCTGGTTAAACTTTGCTTGCTCTGTATATTTCCTCGCTGCCTCTGCATCACTGTAACATTCCTCCCACGTTGTAGTTTTCATGGTTGTTTTCCCTATAGTGGTAACTCTATCACTGGAACTATCTTTCTTTAAAAACTGAGAGGAATCATTACTTCATTTTTAGAAAGTGGTGAAGAGTAAATCAACCATGTACTTGTTAGAGGGTTATGATTAATCATATCCTGTCACTATGAGTTCCCACCACCTCTCTCTGCCTTTGCACATAGTTAGCACTGGGAGGTTTTATTCCACAAGTCTTAACACCTTTACATATCACCATTCTATTGTGCAATCAAACATTTTTTAAATATAATATCAAATATTTGGTGACCTATGCATTCATACAAGTTGTATCTTGGTGGGATACATTTTTAGGTCATATAAGAATTGTTAGAAGTTGTCTCACAAGCAAATAAAAACGTACTTTACCAGTTTTGTCAGTAAATTCAGTCACAAGGTCATTCTACACTAACTCAATTGATCTGTCGCATCAGAGCTTCCCAGATCATTAGGGTGCAGCTGTTTTTGTATGTATGTATGTAGAAGGCCTTTTTATTCCTTATTGACAGAAAATTTTCTCCATCATTGCATTAATGTTAAAAAAGTTGTGCAACTACAAAGTAAAAACTGCATCACCCTGTGAAGATATTCATTATATTATAACTTTTTGTAAAAAAACGAGATTTAGAAGTCAAAATGTGCCAGTTTAACATGAAAAGGAAAGAAGAACATTTAGAGCCAAAACATGCTAAAAAATAACAGGCTCCATATGGAATCATTTTCAAAGAAGAATATGTGACAACTGCCAGTACTTTTGCAACTGTAAAACTTACTGTTGAAAGCGTGGGTTGCGAATGTCTTCATGATTAATCTTGACTATGCAGTCGTTTTCCTGAAAGAGATGTTCTTTCTCAGCTTTGCCCCCACCCTCCAAACGCTTCACAAGCAAGCCTTGGGTCCAGCATACATGAAATGAAAATGCACATTTGTTGTGTTGTTCTATTGTTGCTGACCATTCAAAGCACTTTAAGACTGCAGACCACATTCACTCACACAATCTTACATACAGCCCACATAAGCCTTATGGGCTATACAGTGCTTCTTTTTATGCATTCGCACGAAAATGAATACACTGATTGACACATAGGTAGGCAATTTGGTGTCCATATTGCTCTAGATTGTGCAATTCATTTTAGGGAAGGATCTTTCAACGTTATTGTCAGAGATCTTTTATATTTTTTCAGTGTTTGCTGCCACTGAGGCCGAATGACTCGGCAACTGCAAAACAAATGAACACAGTCTGACAGCTAATCCACACACTTCCTCAAGAAGAACATATTTCCCCTTTGTGTCATCATTTCAGGTCTTTGAAAATCTTTGGAGTCATGTTGCGTTGCATCAACCTCATGTGACAGCACCTGAAATATGCATATGTTTCTGAAGAGCTGCTGGGTGCTGTGTGACGGTTATCTGGAATGCTAGTGATGGGGCATAGTGCTAGAGAGTTATATTCTGAATATTTGATGGTCTTAATGAGCAGGAAAAATACAGGACTAAGCACTTTGTTGGTTTGTTTGATTCATGGTGTGTGAGAAATAATGGACGCACGGAATGATTAAATATTAAAAAACTTCTATAACTTTTCCGTTATAGGAAGATGGCTGTCCACTCTTATGTTGCCTAAGGCCATGAAACATTTATTAAACTTGAACTTTTGTGTTTGGATAAATAAGGACATGTACTGTTTCTATGTGAAAGCATGCGGGGGCAAACGGTATGTTCATTGGATGATCCAGTTGTATGTAATTCATGGTTTTGAAGGTTTTATTAATCTTTGAGGATTGGGGTGAATGGATGGATAGACAGATGGATGGATAGGTGAGTCATGTGTGGAGGAGCTGGGGTCATTCATAGCCATTACTCAACAAGTTTAGAGTCCTTGGAGCTTCTGTTGAAGTAAGTGGCTTTTGCTGTTTCCACTAGCATCAAGACTATAATAACTTTGCAGCACTGGTGCCCTTGCAATAAAATGATGACAAATGACGGCGAGAGAAGATAAACCTGGTCTGTCTGTAGATGTGAGTGTGAATGTGTGTGCTTGTGTATGTGTTTTTGGACAATATCCCTGAAATGTATGTCTGGCGTTGCTTAATTTAACACATATTTATTTTATTCATTAGAGCAAACAGGGGGCAAACCTATCTTATATCAAAACAATTTTTTTACATGTACAAAAAAAGAAAAAGAAATGGAAGTCAGATCAGGCTTTTTATTAAGTAATAATAAAGCATAGTGAGGTTCACTTTTGCATGGGACCATTAAGAACAAAAAACAAACAATGAAACATTGTGAATTATCTAACTAATATGAAATTCCTTTTTTTCTGAATTAAATATTCACACCATGATACAGCTTAACATAACTTTTATCTTAAGTTTTATGGTCACTGAATCCGGATGGAGTGGACAGGCCTCCGCTGAAGAGCTGACCATTTCACGATGATTCTACCTCTGCTGTTACAAATTGTGGCGGCATATGGAGATAAATCAGTGTTTGAGCATTGTGGAGTGTGTATACCATCCTTCTTTTGGATCAATTGATCCCGTGACAGCTAATGGCAGACCTCTGCTATATCTCATGTTGGCTTGCCAGTTATGAGTGCTTCAGACATCTGGGTTGCATTGTTGCCTACACTAATGCCAGGTCGACCAGGTTGATCAGACGTTTTGGAGGTAGAGGGGTGTATTCGTCAGATGCGGGGAGAAAATATATTGAGAGAGGTTGTCAAAATGCCTTCTTATTTCC